AAACATTCTATTGTCCCACAGTTACGGAAAGTCTGAGAAAGCTTTGGGTACTTCAGGCAGGTGCAGCTGTGCTAACTGGAGGCTTGCTTTTGTGTTAGCTGTGCACCTTACTTGTGTTTGAATGGCAAAAAGTACAAAAGTACAAGATCTAGCATGGTCGTTCCTTCTGTTGCAAGTTGAAGCTTTAAGGTTTTGAAGTCCCAATGTCAAAACCTTAAAATGAAAGCAACATGCATTTGGTTAGTGAATATAACAAGGTTTTATGTGTGTGATGAATCTAATCCCATTTTAATGACTTGGCAATGATGTTGTGACGAGGAAAACACAAAAGCAGTGGATTTAGACACTCCACAGAGACCCAGAGTTCTGACAGGTCTGAGCTTCTGATTTAGACTGCATGGAAGCCAAGAGATAAAAGTGTAGCTTAGGGCATTCATTCTGGTTTGTAAACTATGATTCCATGACCAAACCGCACAGTTTAGTTTGTGGTTGTCAAAGCTTATGCTGCTCCAAAAATATAGACATCAACAGTAGTAGACAAGCAGACTCATATATGCAACACACACACACAGAGCATTTTTATGCCATCTATGTCATTTCTTTTCTGTGTATTTATTTGATGTGAATGTTTTTAATGTGTTTAAAAAAAAGGTTAGGAAGTATTTTTAAAGGCCAATGAAGCAGATACTATTAATTATCCCAATTTTAATCGATGGAGAAGTGAAGCATAGAGGGTTTAAGCATCTTTCCCAAAGTCACATTGTTGGCATGGAGGTGATTCTGCTGGCCTGCCCTCAGGGATCCAGCAATTGCTTAACTCATCACCTGGTCTCTGCCAGGTACACCAGGTGTATGCCTGATAAAGGTACCTGCCTGCCACCCCAGGTCTCTCTGTTCTATCTCTCTCTCTTTCCATGTCCTAGGCACCCCCCTTTCTCTTCCTTCCTGCCCCCCCCTTCATGGCTGGATTGCTGCATCTCACCTTCTCCAGGTCCTCACTCTTCTCCCTTCCTCCAATAAACCTTCTTATACTGGATCTGTTGCATTGCATAATTCCTCAGGGGCATACCTTGCCATGGGCCCACCATGATACCCCCTCACTGCATTATATTTTATAACAAACTTAGCTACCAGGTAGCATGGAAGCCCACAGGAGGGCAGGGCTTCTCTTCAAATGAAATGTAGAAAAGAAGTTCCATCCATAGTTCCAAAAACAGGAAAAGACAGTAGCTGTGGTGGGCTAGGGAATAAGGAGAAGCTGCCAGGACAAGAGGGCCATTCAACCCCATGGATGAGTGGGCAAAGTCGTGTATTTGATACAAGACAGCTTGGAAATGGGAAGGGATCCTGGGCCAGGAAAGCTGGGGCAGCAGCAGCTGGAGGCAGGATGTGCTGCTTCTGGTGTGTCCTGGAGGCCCCCAGGAGGCCCAGGACTGAGAAAGGGCTTTGCTCCTCCTCAGTCTGAGGATCATTGTAGTGACCGGAGTCCAGGGAGCTGGAGAGAATTCTCCCAGTGCACCCTGAGATACCGCTTTCCCCCTCACAGTGCACTGGGAGGGCAGGAGGAGGCCAGGGAGACTGAATGGGCGTTGAGTAGGCACCAAGTCCAGGGGGAAAGCTGCTCCCTATTCCACCCACCACCACAACCACACTCCACCCTGCTTCTCTTAAAGTATAAACAGGAGCTAGAAGGAGCTGGGACTGTGTAGACACAGAGCTAGACCTAGTTGGTGACCCACATTGGCAAAACTGAGAATATGACAAATGACAAAGCATAGCAGGCATGGCAGCTGGTGAGACAAGGACTAAGAAGCTTGGCTCATGGTTTCAAAGAAAAGAAATGCATAAAAACCTCCAGGTGGAGCTTGATCAAGTGGCTCATTGGCACAATGTGATGTATGGACTGTAATAACAATGTGTCAATAGTGGCTCGTGTGTTGCACTAATGAGCCATGTTGACACCAGAGCTGGGTAGTGAAGTAAGGGAGAGTACATAGACATTCTGTACAGCCTACCTGAATGTTTCTATTAACCTAAATCCATTCTTTCAAGGAAAAAAGTCTGCTGCTTTTTTTTTTTTTAAAGCAGTTGCTATGGTCTATTTGTAGCTTATGAAATAAAGTGATTTTTCAGTTCTCTGAGATCACACATTTTTGAGAATATTCCCTGACCCTTGAGCTTGGGTTCTTCTGATAGGGTAGAAACCCGCCCCAGCTATGTAAATCAAGGTCAGTTTTTATGCAGAACAAGTAAATAGCCCTCGGTTCAAACACAGAAGAGGCTATGTTTGAAAGTTGATCAAAACTTGGAACTTCTCCCCCTTGAAAACCTATAAAGGTTGGAAAACAGGCCAATTAGATGACTGATCCTTGGCTATGGGAAAAAGACTACACCGAGAGACAAAGAAAAAAAAGGGAAACTGTGTTAACCAGCTCTGTTTTGCTGGGTCAAAATGCCTAGGTAAACAACATACAAGAAGGGAAGTTTCTTTGAGTTCATGGTTTCGGGGGAGTTGGTCCACAGTTGACAGCCTGCTGCTTTGGGGCCTGTCAGAGGAGTAGGATAGTACTGGAGGAGAGAGTGGCTGAGGAGGTTGCTGCAAGCACGGAGGCCAGCAGGTAGAGAGGAGGAGGTTCCCACGTCACTGTTGGAGGATCTAGCCACAGTAACCTAACACCCTCCCACTAGGCCCCACCTCATAAAGGCTCCCACATCTCAGCAGCACCTACTAGCGGACCAAGCAACCCCTGAGCCTTTGGGGACACTGGCCAACTGAAGTTCTTCCGAAGCTTCTACACATGCGCCGAAACAAAACAGGCTGCACTCGTGAGCTGTAGTTAGCAATGCAGTTCATTTTTATTAGTTATAAATAAAGTACAAAAAATCCACCCAAAGTGAATCTAAGCAGTTACACAATTCCTAACGTCTCCGCCTGTTCATTGATGCACTATTGCTTTAATAGTCATAATAAATATTTTTTTCTAGCTTTCTGCTATAAAATAGTCTATGTAGCAAAATGTTGCACAGCACAACAGAACAGAACAGCAGGAAGATTACAAAAAAAGGACAATCAACACTGGGGATAATCCCTTCACTTACCAGGGGCAACAAACGGCCCCTTGGAGAGCCTAGTGTGGCCCTCTCCACAGCTGACGGGAGAAGACCTTATCCCACTGAGTGGGGAGGCTCCAGGGTGGGGCATTGCCAGCCAGAGCATAGGGCCCGTCCTACTCTGGCCCTACCCAACAGTGTAGCCCATGCGGAGCCCTGCAGGGGGCAGTGTCTGCCAGGCCTGGCAGTGTGCTGATTGTGCTCCACTAGCATGGTGGGTGACTCCACAGGCCATCTCCAAGAAAAGCAAGGCTCCAGGGCAGAGGCAGGAGAGAAGCTGGGCAGCAGCAAGCAAGATGCCTCATCAGAAGGATGGGGCTGAGGGACCACACCCGGTCTAGCCACACAGGTAGGTGGTGTGGCTACCCAGGGTCTCCATTCCCTCCTCTGTGCCAGAGCTATGCAAACCCATGGGGCCTCCTGTGGAGGGTGGAGCTACCCACCAGGCAAAGGCAGTGATGTCAAGAGCCAAAAAGGGGGAGGGATGAGTTAGGAGAAGAGGGAAAGAGGAGGGTCAGCATGCCAGGGGTCCAGCCCACTCCCCAGGCTTAATCCAGGGCCCACTTCCTCAAGGCCTCCTCACTGTCACTCTCACACAGATAAGTGAGGCTGAAGTCATAGCTCTCTAAGTCCCCAGCAGCCCCTGTCTACAGCCCCTGTCTGTAGCCCCTGTGGAACATAGGCAAAGGGAGATTGCTGAGGAGAAGGCATGATACAATTCTGGGTCCCAAGTTCTTATCCAGACAAAATAGGGGTGGGAGTGGAGATCCATAGAACACCATAGACTTCTGTTCTAGCAGCTATCTCTCTCAGGTAATACGAAATGGATCTCAGCTCAGTCTCAGAACAACCAACTAACCTTGAGAAAGTCCACGTTTCCTATGCAAGGACATATCTACCTAACTGGCCTCCTTGCCACCTGCAGGATGCCATATTTAAGAGGACCCTGCTGGTGGCTGCTTTGACCAGATCACTAAGATAACTCTTAACTGGCTCCCTCTGCTCTCTATTTCTCTTCTCGCCTTCCCTCCATCCTTTCCTCTTCCATCTCTGCTGCGATAAATGAGAGACCCATCTTTGTGGTCTCCCTGGGACTGTGACATATTCTTTCTGAATCAGGAGGACCCAAGAGATCACCCTTCCTGCCTCCCTCTCTCAGAAGAGGAACTCAGGAGTCCAGGGACTCCCTTGATCACAGGGAGGATGCTGTGGGGCTGGTCTGGAAACCCAAGCCTTCTGGCCGCCACCTAATGGAGCAGGCTTTCTGTTTTTGATTATGCTCAATGTGTCCGAAGGACCCCAATTCTGGAACCTTAGTGAGTGGGAGCCCAGATATGTCTCAGTAACCTCCAGCACCCTGAAACTGTCCTCAGGGGTTGAAGGATGAGTGGGCTTGAGAATGAAAGAAGGGGAGGGAAGATGGAAAGCAGGTTTCAGGTGGAAAAGGGGCTGGGGGAGGGGGCCAAGGGTGGCAAGTGAAAGGATTACCCCAGTCTGCTGACAAGTGCAAATTATATTTATATATGTGCTAAATACAGTCACTATATTGGAGCTTTTCACTAGATCACAGCATACAGAATCAAAGGTTTGCATTTCGTATGGAATGTATCCAAAGAGGCCAGCACCACAGTAGGACAGCTTGCAATCACACACCCTGATAGTTTGGACAAAATAAAGTTTCGCAGACTTTTATTTAAAATGGGTTTTTTTTTTGTTTGTGTTTTCGCAGTTGTCATCGTACCAATGCATGCAAAGCATTCCACTCCCAGAAACGACGCCAAAATGAGGTAATAGGAGCAATAAAAAACATTAGTATCCTTTCTAAATAAATAAATTATAATTAAAAATGCAAAACAACTATAAAAATAATTAAATAAGAACCCACGGTATCTACAAGTTAGTCATAAATTATGATTGTTAAATATAAGGCATTTAAACTCACAAAAACCCTGTAAACTAGCAACGTGCCATGTTTTTTATTTTTTGTGTTTTTTTTTCTTTTTTGTTTTTCTATCAGCTGAAATCGCTCTAGCATTTGCTCTACGCGCGCGCAGGAAATGAAACACAAGGGGACCTGACAGACGTTGCTACAGCCCCACAAGGGGAATGTTTGTCCCGCAAGAGGGGGGGGGCTTGGGGGATTTCTTCAGGAAAAAAAGTCTGGTGCTTTTTTCTTCACCATTGAAAAACTGTGCTTGTTCGTTAGGCGTAAAGAGTTAAGAATGCTTGCACGGAGGCTAGGGGCCTTTGCAAAGAGGAGCTTGAGGCGTCACAGGTGGTGGCGAGGGTGACCGGGGAGCCTGGGGTCCTGGCCAGGTGGAGGAGTGTGCAGCCCCAGCTGCCCGTTGCCTGTGCCCAGCTGGATTCGTGGCGATGTGTTGATTGGTGTCCTCAGTGGGCCTGCTGCGCCATGGCTGCGGTTAGGAGGCCCGACTCGAACCTGGGGCCGCTGTCAAAGGCACTCATGCGTCTCCGTCAGAAAAGGGTCTGAGTCCCGTGAGTTGAGCAGGAGAACTGCATACGACTCTCTCCTGGAGATGGTGGATGTGAGATGCTGAGGCCTGGCCCCGCCCGTCACTGCTCTTCTCTGGCTCCTTCACCCTTCTAGGGACTTAGCAGAGGCACTGGCTTTTCTCCACCCAATCAGCTGCCCTGAAACAGGAGCTGGGAGGGCTCTAGGTGCTGCTCCAGTCCCCACCACCAGGGCACAGGGTAGATGGGAAGGGGTGTGTGTGTGTGTGGCAGGATCAACCCCTTCCCTGCCCAGGCCCTAATGTTAGCCTGGGATATTCAAAGCGCCTGCACAAACGGGAGCAAGGAGAAACCATCCTGCCCTCTCTTGCTCAGCCTGTGTGCCTCAGCCTCTGAAGCAGGTATATTCGGGCACAGAGGCCTCTCCCCAGCATGACTGGCACACAGCTCTGCAACTTGAAAGATGTGTTGACGCTAGGGAGAACCACAGGATGTGTATTGGGAGAAAGTTATCGAGCATTCCATCCAACCTCATTGTGTCACAGCTGAGGAAGCTGAGGCCCAGCAGACCAAGGGGTGTGGGGAGAGGTTCCAGTCCGCCTGTGGGGAGCCAGGACTAGAATCTGGGACACTGGTTCCAGTTCCCTCCTGGGTCCCTACCAATTCCCTTTCCCTGCAAGCCTTTCAGGACAGCCTCAAAGGAACAGAGAGTGAGTGGCCTCAGAGAGTAATGCCCTGCCTTGACCACCCCAACTACTTCTGAGCCACAGCCATCTTCTGATGAAATCTTGGTTTTCGAAAGGTCACAGATGAAGCAGAGGACCATGAGGCTAAGGGATACCATCGGCCTCCTCTCCTTTGGGGAGCAGCAGGAGAAAAGTCACAGTTCTTGTGGCTTTTTGTCAGCAGCAGCTCCCTGACATCCTGACTCGAGCATTCTTTCCGCACCTGCTGGGTATCCAGCCTTTGCCCTTGGAGACACTGTTCATGATGGCAACCAGAGTCGGACAGGGCCATGGTCAACACAGCTGACCTGCGCTGTTCACCGTAAGCACGTTGGATGCGTGCTACTCCTCTGCTCCTCTCCTAGTTCCACCAAGCCCAGCCAACACTTAGTGATCACCTTCCTCAGCACTCACCCCAGTAGGCACTCAACAGAGACTTCATGAGATGCCAGAAGATGGATCCTGGGAGTAGCCTTTGTCTGGAGAGTGGACAGAGCGCCATTCCTTCATGATGGTGTCAGTTGTGCTAGAAGGATCTCTCTCTTAAGTCCGATCGGCCTCTGTCAGTTTTCATCCTGATTCTTCCTCGGCTCACTTAACTTGGTGGAATCCCTCCATTTATCTGATCTGTATCCTATTTCCTGGCCTTACTCATAGGAGGGCACTGAGATTGTCCAGTGTTTGGGTTCCGGGTAGATTCTAAGAGCAGTGCAAATGAGGGAGGGAGGAGGAAAGCAAGGAACAGAGGAACGTTACAGGATGGCAGGCAACCTAGCATTTTCTGCACATGATAAGAGCTACACTTTGGGTTAAAATTTGGCAGATCTTTTCCAATATTCTGTCCTCCCATCTCTCTGAAAAAAATTACAGAGTAGTACAAAAAGCATACTGCAATACAATGTCAACTGGAACTTTTCGTCTCCTTTTCCTGCTCCAGCCACTAAACCCTCAGAGGCTTCCATGAGAGAGTAGAGCCCAGAGGGGCTGAGTGGCGTTAGTCCTCAGATCTAGGTGAAGGAGAAGGAATGGGGGGATGGGAACACACTGTTGTTTCTCCCCACTGGAAGGAGAAGGAACTGAGGCACAGAGAAAGAAAGGAACTTTTGCAAAGTCACAGATGAAGCAGAGGACCATGAGGCTAAGGGAGACCATCGGCCTCCCACCAGTGGTCTCAAAGCCAGGGCCTTCTCCCAGGGACTGAATGGCAGGATCCTATAGGAAGCTCAAGTTACTCCCAAGGTTGTGAACTTGACCTCACCCTCTCACTCTAGCTGAGAGCACTTTGGCCAAGGCCAAGCGCACACTGCCAATACTGTTTTCTCTGTATCATCTGGTTAATTTTTTGCATAGGGAGGCAGTGGCTTCATTGCCTCTTTGCGGCAAAATGAGAGCTCAGGCTAAAGTTAGGAACTGGAGTGATCAGGGGAGCTGCTGGCTCCCAGCAACCTGGGGCAGCTGGAGCTGGAGGCAGCGTCCTCCCTGGCTCAGTTTGGAGCCTAGGAAAATAGCTGGGGCCAAGCAATGGACCTTAGGACTAGGGAGCCCACACTGAGATGGACCCCCTTCAACTAGCTAGGGCTCTGCCCTCCTCACCTTGCCTGAAAGCCTCAGAGACCCAGTGAGACCCAATCTGCTCCTTTTAAGCCCCACCTCCTTCTCAGATGCCCCACCTACACTCCGTGCACTGTAAACATGAGAAAAACAAAGCCCAAGGAAAAAACAAAAACAACAAACGAGAACCCCCCTCCCGCCTCCCAACCCGGGTGAAAAATTATCATCTTTGTTTTTTTCACCGTAAACAGGATTTGGCTTTTTTTTTTTCTTTCACCTTTGATTTCTTTTTTTTTCTTTCCTTTTTTTTTTTTCTTTTTGCTCATAAAGACGGGAAGATTGGGGCTGTCGTTGGTTGGTTGGTTCGTCAGGCACCAAAACAAGAAACTCAATGAGAAATATTTGGTGCAAGTTCAGTAATAGCGACATGTCCACCACAGATGACTAGAGCACCACACACGACATTTTTCTTAAGCTAACATGCTCCGGCTGCCGTCCACAGAATAGCTAGAGACCCCTACATGATTTCTACGTGGTCAAGAGGTATATACACAATCCTTCAAAGGACAGGATTTGGGGGCCGGTCTTCAGCTAGTACCCTCAAGATCACATCTAGTTCTCAGCAGCTGGGCCCCCCCTTCCCGCCCCTGCTCTGGGCACAGCCAGCTCCCTCCCCGCTGCACAGCAAGGCAATGAGGCAGTCACCATTCCAGATGGGTGGGTCCTCCCTACCCCTTCTCTCCCTCCAACACTGATATCAACTCCTCTTTCCACAAAAAAAAAATGTGCTTGCAGGCTTCTTCTCTACGTCAAATGGCTCAGAAGGCAAAGTTTGGCTGCAAGGGCTATGGCCGTGGGGGGGACCTGGTGAAGGAAATGGGGCATCCACTGGCTAGCTCCTCCTTCAGCTGTCAGCTCCCAGTTGTGTCTCAATGTCCACTCGGCAGATGGGGCATTTCTTGCTCATGGCGAGCCACTGGTCCACACACAGTTGGTGGAAGAGATGCATACAAGGTAGGCGTCTGGAAAAGGAAAGAGTCGGTGACCAGCAGCAGGGGCAAGGGGATGAAGACCACTGGGAACTTGACAAAGAGGGCTCTTAGAACCCAGACCCTAGACTGAGGTTGTGGCTCACATTGGAAACCATGCCTGGAAGTAAGTCTCAAAGCTCTCTTCCATAAAGGCCTTTGCCTCCTCTTAGATCCATCCAAGACAATATCACACTTTGCCTCCATGACTCCATGCTCACGGTTACACCTGTAGAGTATTCCATACCTAACTTCACTAGTGCAGCCAGGAAACACAGAAGCACACTTGGTACCTAAGGTACACATCAAGTAAGTGCCTCCTTCCTTGAGCATTTGGTGCAGTGACCAGCCCTAATGCCCATGAGAGTGGGGACCGGTACTCAAAGGAGTGGTCTCTTACCTCACGTCCTCTCCATCCTCCAACATAGACAGACAAATTGTGCATTTCTCATCTGCATCTGACTCCTCCCCTTCGTCTTTCTTGCCCTTGCTGTCCTGGGGTCTTCGCTGTGAATAGAGGGGGGAAAATTAGTTACCCGGTAAAGACTGCTACGGGCAATTTAGCTTTTGCCCACAGCCTCCTCCCACTTGGGTGGCCTCTCTGTTCCTTTGGATTCACCCCTAGCTCCTTACTCTTGCTTCTGGAAGAGAAGGTAAAAATCAAGTGAGGAAGAGGCCGGCACTGCTGGTGGTTGTCAGGGGACCAGTGTTTGCAGGAGTCAGGGTCCTAGTCAATCTGCCTTTGTAGAGCTATATATGTGAATTTTTACTTCCCCTGCCTCCCTCTCATTGTCCACTCCCTCTCACACACGCTCAACATGTACCCCTGCCTCTAAGTCCGGAATGTTTCCTTCCTCGCTCCCTCTTTTTCTCCCTCCCTCCCTTTCTTCTTTCCTTTCTTCCTTCCTTCCCACATCCCTACATTCCTCTTTCCACTAATGTCTGTCCATCTACGCTCTCATTATTACATGAACACAAAATTTCTCCACCCACCATTAACCCCTGTGATTTGTACCACATGGTTCTCAACTGCTCTCTACAGCTGGGTTTCTCCCTATCCATAAAGCCCCTTCATGATAAGCAGTAGCTCTAGCGTGAGGTTGAATGCCATGCAGCTACTGCGCATGCTTCCCGGTTTACACATTTCTATTCATAATTCTATGTTAACTGTTTGACTGCAGTTAAGCACTGTGCAGAAGTTTTCAAGTGTTACACGCGGCCAAGTACAAGGTGCCATTGCTGCTTCATAAATATTCTGGGGAAGGAGACACCTAACTGTTTAATTAAATCAGCCCACTCTCCATACCCCTGTCCCCTTGCTTCAGATCTGATCATAAGTCTGAGAGTAACCACAGGAAGCGAATCATCCATTCTGTCCTCTCTCCAGAAGCAAGCAAACTGCAAGGTGGTTTTGCAAAGAGGCTTGTGCAATCACAAGGTGAAGACCAGGGACTGACCTTGGGGCCGGAGCTAGTTGTCAGAGCTACCTACTCCAGTTGCAAACTCGAAAGTTCCCTCCTCTGATTTGGTCTGGGGGTGCTCTGCCCCGGCTAGAGCACATGAAGAAACCTGTTGTTTCTGCTGTAGGCCTCTCTCGTGTGCCCCATGTACCAGATGCAAATGATGCCAGGCTTCCACAAAGTCCCTTCATCCAGAAAAACACGCTGTATCCCTTGTCCTATGTGTTTGCCATGCATGATTTTTCAGTATTAATAGAGTTACGGTGATGTGCCTGCTGAAGGGCCAGCCGTGTCTGTGGGAGGACTGGCCCTGCAAGAAAAGGGATACCCAGAAAAACAGCGCTGAGCCCCAACCATGTGACTGGTTTCTGCTGCTTTTCTCCACCGCTTTTCATTATTTCCTTTTTGTGTCCTAATTTCAGTTCAACAGTATCGTGCATAGCTGCTTCTAATCTTTATTTCTCTGTTTTCACATCTTATTTTTTATTCTGTCTTAGGTCTTTCCATTATCTACAGAACTTTCATTTTAACTTCAGCTTTTTTTTAGCATTTATTTAATATTCACTATTTATCTACCTTCTCATTTCACCAACTTCTTTCTTCCTTTCTTTTCTTTCTTTCTTTCTTTCTTTCTTTCTTTCTTTCTTTCTTTCTTT